ATATAGGATTCTACATCGAACGCGTCAACAAAAAAAGTGCAAGTCAAAATAACCGAATCCACCTAGACCCGCAGGTCGATGGGCAGAAGAATCTGCACGCATGGATGAGCCATTTCAAGCAGAGGCCCTGTCGATTAGTCATGAGACATACCACATTTCTGGGGGATTCTCTATGCTCGGATATTATAATGATACTTATTAAGCAGATATTTTAGATTGAATAGATATTTTCGAGATTTTCAATAGCTGGATTTTATAGAGACAAATTTTCATTGAATATTAATTATTAGTATTAAATCCTGCGCAGAAGGCGAAGATAATATAGATCTATAAATTCAAATAACTATATTATCAAGATAGAAAATAATGATATCAAATAATATTATATATAATTCATAGAATAAATGAGATATTGAAATATATTATAAAAAATTATATGCAAAATTCGTATATTCAAAATCTAATCATTTTGAAAAATCATTATTTTTCTTTAAAAATCTCTATCGAATTTTAAATTCATTATTTCCCAAATCTTATTTCTTAATATATTTCTATATTGAATATTTATGAGATTGTTTTTTCAAACGAATGAAATCATTCGAAAATATAATATTAGATAGAGAAAATCTATATATATATAATATCAAATTCTAATTATGAATTATATATATATTGATTAAAATATATGATCTATATATATCTCTATCTTTATAAATCATTTTCATGAATTGATCTCATGAAATATTTTTCTCAAATCTAATTATATAATAAAAAATATCATATATTCTATTCTTTTTATATCTATTTCGTCAATTTTCATTCAATTCATATGAAATTCGAAGATCTATATCGACTCTATTGACGGATATTCGGATCTATATAATATATCGAACGTATTATACGCCTTGATATTTTCATTTATATCATATAAGATAAGAAACTAAAAAATTTTCTCAAGATTATTTTCCATATTCTCAGAGATTATAAACTATTTCGATATGATACCAAAATATCCCCAATCATAGAATATTTCTATGATATTCAATCACGATATATTTCCAAAATATTCAATAATGATATATCTTGATAATATTCAATTCCAAAAATATTCCTTCAATATCCAATCATCAAAAAATATCGTTCTAATGATCGATCGCAGATTATCCCTGCTATATTTGACCCCCAAAAATCCCGGCAATGTTCAATGACAATCTATCCCTATAATTCATATCTATAGAATATTTCCCTAATATCCAAATATAGAATATTTCTATAATATATATTCATAGCATATCCCTCATATATTATTTATAGATTATCTGTATAATATTCAATATACGAATTCTGAATATTCTAGATTGCCATTAATAGAATATATTATATTCTTAGAATATCCAAATCTATAATAATTCTGCAATATTCAAAGATAAATCGTCTTTATAATATCCAATCCTTATAATATCGAATCCCACAATATTTGCTCCTACAAGATCGAGTTATAAAAATCGTATAATATATTTATAATGCTATAGAGAAGATAATTTATAGGGAAAGAATAAGAAATCATATAATTTCTTATTCAATGATGATTTTGACGACTTTAAGATAGAGATATTCCAAAAAGATAATTTCAATATAGAGGAATTAATTCTCATTAGATTCTATTCTCTATAAATATATGATATTTTCAAATCATCAAAAAATACGGATCAGAATATATAAATAAAATTTTAATCAATATTCGAAATCGAGAGAAATAAATATTGATTCGCTTTGAAATTTGAAATAATTATCGTTTCGTTTGAGATAACGAAAGAAATTATAAATTTTCCTATCGATCACGGAGATTTTATCATATAAATGAATCATGCGGAAGACGATAATTCTAAATAATTCCAATTATTTTTTATAGAAATGCACTAATTATATTTCTCGATATAAATTCTTAGTTCCCAGAAATAGAATCTATAATATCGATATATGAATCTTGATCATAATGATATTTATAAATAGATTTGAGAATATATTTCGTAATCAAAGAGAACGATCACGAGATAATGCTTGAGAATATATCATTTATTCATCCTCCTTTATTCATCTTCCGGATTATTTCAAAAATTATAGATAATCAACAAAAAAAATGACGAAGATAATATTATTTCATAAGATAAGATTACGATTTTTTAATATTCTCAAAGATTCAAGAGCTAATTCGACTTTCAAATAATGAATTTCGAAATTTTCTGACGATAATTCATATTATCATTGAAATCTCATTCAAATTCATCAAAATATTGCCAATCATTCTAGAAATGAAATCAAATATCCTGAATTTTAATATATATATATATATCAATCCAAATAATTCATTCATAAATCACGCTCATCTTTTCAAATTTATCGTGCAACATATTAAATTTCCAATAAATGAAAATTCGAAAAACACAAATTTCAAATTCTTCAAATATTTATCTAATTTCAGATCTTTTTTTCTTAAATGAAATGTATATATAAGAATAAGAAAATCATATAGATAAATTATAATGAAATCATTTTTTGAAAAAGAATCAATAATTTTGATAAAAGAAATATATTATATAGATAAACATACGAAATAAGAATATTATAATCTAATCTTTTCTGAACAATATATCGTCTTCCTCTCCATAATCTCGTCGCGCCGCCGCCCAAATTCTCATGAATACCGTCGCCTCCCCCGCCAGATAAATAGATATCTTCATATCTAAATAGTCATATATAGATATCTAACAATTTTTTCTGAAGAAGATATGGGATGCCAACGTGCTAGCATGATTGGAAGATTATCCTGCTAAGATATTTTAATCTATTAAAAAAATTATAAATCTGCTGAAGATCTATTTATTTCGTATATATATATATATCAATCCGATTCTGCATCCTCAATACGTCATCGATCATTCTCCATCATTCCTTCTCCTTACTTTATCTTTTTCGCTACCGCCTAATGAATTAATATATTCGCGCCTCATTAACAATTAATATTTGACCAAGAAGAATCAAAATTATCTAATAGATATTTTCTATAGAAGATACGACGACTTCATATTTCATCAATTCTATATCCGCAATATTTTTTAGAAAATATTGCCGAATCATTTATCCAAATTTAGCGAAAACTAATTTTTCCAGAATACCCGAAATATTTCTAAGATCGTAGTCTATTAAATATATTAAATATATAAAAAAAACGATTTCTGAATATTCGAGATATTTCAAGAATCATGATCTACGAAATACAATAGATATTTCAAAAAAAAATTGAATATTCGAATAGAATTATACGAGCATTCCGCCAAGAAATAAATACCTCGCACTAGCAGAGACAAACACCCCAAATAAACCCCCCAAAACCACGGCGCGGCCTTTTGCGATCATTCCCTCGCGTGCGACCTAAATTTCCGATTCAATTTTAAAATATCTTCCGCGAGCTCCCTAGAGATTTTAGGGCTCTTCAGACAAAGAAGAAATCTTGGTGCGGATAATATAATCAAAAATCTTAGAGATTTTTAGTTGTGCAACCTTTCGGCCTAGAAGAAATAGCAATATAAATTTAGAGCGGAAATCTTTCAGAAACTATTAATTTTTGCGATTTTAATCATATATTAATTATTCATCAAAATTCATGTGCGAATTTATTATTACGCGCAATCAATTTTTCTCATTATCAGCGCGATTATTCAGAGAAATGCGTACAGCCGAGACAGAAAATCAAAATCTCTCAAAATTTATAAATTATTCGTATCTATTAGTAGAATCATATAACCTCCTCTCCCCAATTCGCCGTGCGATAAATTGAAACAGAAAAGATAATCAATCGCATCTTTGCCATATCGAATTAATATTCATTTATATTGATTTTTTTTAATATTAATATATTTGATAATAAGATATATCCTCCGAGACGATTCATAATATTATATATGAATAGAAGAGAATCTCCATTCTCAATGAAATCTACCTCGTATAATTGCCAAATATATAATAATTAGAATATAAATCATACGATAATTATAATTCGATATCGACCGCGATATCAGCTTCCGCAAATTATATTATAATTACCTCTATTTAGTTTAGGGGGGATTATCAATTAATATTAGAATAATGAAAAACGAAATTCAAGATATGAATCCATATCATTAAAAATATCATCCCCTGCACAACAGTAGATGCGAATATTTGTAAGCAATTCTCAAATATTATGGTGATTGTTATCAGATTTGCCTATTTTTCTTTCTATCAATAGAACCTCATGCATATAGTACGTTTTGAACATAAATAAACAACGTGATTGCAGCTATCGGCAATATATTGAAATCCTTGATCGCAACAGATCTCCATCCATTCCCAAAAGGACAGGCACTCCTACATAATGCTGCTGCCAAATTTGACACATTGTTTTGTTGTATCACAGCAGCCTTGCCTGAAACATGGTTCCCAAGCAGACGCGCATCGATCCTTAAAGACGAGTTGATGTAAAATAACCGAGTTGTAGCATTTTTTGAGCTTTGGTATCTTCATAGGGTGACCCCAAGTTTCCAGGTTTGGTCGGGAAAGGTTTACGTGCGCTTTGTTGCTACAGGCCGCCCTTTGAAAACAGTGGCTGCTGCACACCGTCCTTAGCTGCAGTTCTGAGCTATTGCTGCAATCCCTTCTTTTTTGTTTGAAGCGGTGGGCTTTTGGCGCTGTTTGTTGAGATGTTGAGTGACCTTGGAGCGACAGCAGAACGTGCACGTGTAATGCTCTCTTAGGTTACATGATGAAGCAAGGCTGTACCCCAAATGCTGTCCAGCTCGCAATTCGCTGATTACGTTTATGCAATGCTAGCTGCTACCAGTGCAGGCATCTGGCCTCATGTCGTAATGTGTTGTGACGTGTCTGCATTCTTTCGCTCTGATGCCGTCTTCTGCTTTAGCAATTGCGCATGAAATCAGGTGCAATCCGATGAGCACTTCTTTTCACTTCTTAATCAAGAAGTCATCATCGGAATCATCTCCGAACAGGGATGCCCTGCAACAGAGGAAGTGACTGCTTCGCTCAAGTGTAAGTGTACCATGCTGCTCAACACAGCTTCATTTTAAATCGGACTTTTCCTCACTGCTTCCGATAGGAGTCACACGCAACAAAAAATCAAGCACGACACCTGCACCAACTTCTGCCAAGGAAAGCCTTGAGAACCATCAATCTTTTAAGGCCCTCAGAGACACTGCTGCGCTTCGCCAGCAGCATCTGCATGCAGCTGTTGAAGCATTGAGGTCAGATTGCAAACGTTACGTGCCTGGGCTATGAGGACCGATTTGTGGGCATGTGCCCGACTCGCTGCTGCAACGACAGCAGCAGCACATGAAGCCCCAAGTCCTGAGCAGGTGCCCTCGACGTTGCAGCAGCGGTTGCTTGGTGAAGTCGGTGTTCCACCCTCCATAACACAGGAAGATCTCGTCCTGCCAGGATGCAACTGACTTCACTCCCCTGTTCAGCCAAACAACACCTACTTTCGAAAGACATCGGATGGTCCAGAACAGCATGCACATCCTTGCATTTGCGCCCTCTCCCAACGCCAAATTGGAATGGGTACCCCTGCCAGAAATAACGGTGCACAACATGATTCGGTCGTGTTTGGAGAACTTGCGTTTGTGTATGCTTAGGTCAATGATATAGCAGTCGCTTCAAATATGTCTGCAAGTTTATTGCCGAAGTGGGCTGGCAAGTGTCTCCACACGGTGTGCTGGCTCCTGCATAGGTACCTCCAGCAGCCTCACCATGCGTTTGCTATTGCCAGAATGTTCGGATAAGATTCCTTGCTTGAAGCCCAAAACAAATGGCTGTCTTTTGGCTCCATGGGCCCGGTCCTTGGATTGAAGAACAATTTCAGCATTTTCTCGCCCGTCAGACTTACCTCGGCCTCGGCCCGCCCTGTGGGCTGGGCAGGGCTGGGTTGGTGGAGAGGACTCATACTCAAAGGTTACCACCATGCTTGATGGCCTCTGAAGGCTTCCTGAACTGCACCTGGCCGGGAACCAGCCCATCTTTTGGGTTAGGCACACATCGCTCGGTGAGAATACACATCAACTACTGCGGACGCCGGCAGATTTCGCATCAGCGGGATATTTACACATCAGCCGTGTTCCAGGGCAACCCGATGAGGGTGGATGTCCCGTTCTGCTGCGGACGCTGGGGTTTGAGAAGAAAATCAGCGATTTACGGATTCATGTTGTATAATTCCCCGTCTAGACACTCGTTTTACATTTTACACATGACCCCAGCATGGGATGATGAGATACTGCCATTTCCAGATTAATGCCATCAGTTCAGGCTGCATCATGAGCTGAAACTCTGTATGCTATAGAAACAGCGCAATTGCAAGAATTCTTTTTGCACGATATCTATTAAGCTAGATATGCTAGATGCTTTTGAACTGGGTCTCCCAGTGTGGACGCTGCTCGATGCGTAAAAGACCCAGCCGACGTGAGATAACCCGACTGCCCTATGGCATCTTCCTGCAAAAGCCAAACCTGCAAGAACATCTCGGCACGGCTTTTCAGAGTCGGCAATGAGACGTTCAACGACAACACTTTGAACCTTCTCAAAGTGCGAGAGGGCTTCGACAAGTGGGACAGTCGGGAGGCAGATAAGCCGGTCTTTGGTTTGGAGTGCCGGGTGGTTTTAGCTGATCTCTGGCAATGTCACATACCGTTGAGAATGAAGCTTGACAAACAAACACAGCGGTCCTGAGGCTCAACTGGCTGCGTCGTTACCAGCTGAGCCGGATGGCCATCACCGACCATCCGGACATTTGGGATACATGAATGGTTAACCCGCGACATGGTCTCGAATAGAGCGGTGACGCGGTGGCCTTCTGGACCTGGTTGGATGCAGGGAGCAACCAGCCAATCTCACCTTGTATCATAGCCTCTAGGTGGCCTGTAAAACGGAAACAGTTGGACATCAAGATGACCTCATCACAAATGTCAGGGCATGACGCCAAGAGGACGGATCACTGGGCCTCACGCAAGGAAGCGACAAGCTTCTGCCAGCTCTCCCTCAAGCACCTCGGAAAGAGTGCCATCCAGCCTGTCTCCCACAGTTCGAGAAGAAGCAATCGCCCAATCGCCCCCTGGCCTCTGACTGTAAGGTCTGACAGACCTCTCGTGCTTTGCTTCCTTTTGCAGCGCCCTCAGAAAAGTTGTGTGCCAGGATCTTCTCAACACCCTCCTCAGCTCAGGAGATGTATGCCCCCAGGGCTACACCGCTCAAGGCTGTCAGCTGTCTGCGCACCTGCCCGATGCTGTGGCAGGCGAAGCGCCATGCAGCTGTAAAGTGTGTGCAATCAAAGCGAAGAACTTCGCTGTCCGGCCTCAGCTTGGCGTATGAATGCATGCCTTGAAGGACATGATGGTTGGAAACCAACACTTGTCCTTGCAACTAGGACTCTGACATTTCGAAGAGTGGCCTTTCTTCCAGTATTACCTGATCAAGCTGGCTTTGCCGTCAATTTAACGTTACTTGCACTTTACAAGCCTCCCCTGGTTGCAAGCGCCGGAGTGCCACCAAACGCCTCTCCCCATCTGGGCACTGTTCCACGGCCACAGCGGCCATCGTAGCGCCGAGTGGCTAGCATTATAGCAACGGGGTCAGCGAAACTAATCCCAAGTCGAGCTTGGCACCATGTGCACTCAGAGCCTGCTCCCATAACCATGCTAAGTTCTGTAAGGAGCCAAGACGTTTGCGTGTCTAATGCCATGTTTTGCAGCTCTCTTTGTTTCGAACATCTGCAGAACGCCTACCCGGCAGAATGCAGGGCAATTTCGCATGTTCCCAGTCCACGGCTTTGAATATGTACAAGATCCCTGCATGGACATGGTGGCACATAGTGATGCAGGCTTCATAACAGTGAGTCATAGCAGATTGTCAGACTATCCCACTCAAATCGCTGCATCGCAATACGCACGGATCAATGCGAAAGGCTTTGAGACATTTACTCATCAGAATTCAGGCTGCAATCAGGCGTCAGTCCTGCTGTGTGAGATCAGCCAAGTGATGGGTGTATGGTGTGTCCATACAGCATGCCAAGGCATTCGGTGTCTTAGGCTAGCACCGGTAGTACTCATCCTGAATTTCGAGAGCACTGCCAGACTGGCTCGTATGCAAGCTTGCTGGAGTAGCTGTTGCGGCTACATCGCTGCCCCAATCCTGCGCTACCTGCAAACATTCTGGAGCTTCAAGGAGCAACATATAGCAACATCAAAACACAATATACGCAAACATCTGCTCTTGAGAAGAGGTTAGCCATGCTGTAACAACAAGAGATGAGCTGGAAAACGTCGTGCTGAAGCGAACAAACAGTGACGGTTGCCGAAGAGAAATGGATGCACAAGGCCAAGATTACAGTAGCCTGGTTTCAGCAGGTACAAAGTATTTCAGATGACTTGTCTGCAGGAGGTCCGGTTTAGGCTTCAATCAAGAGTTTTTGGGGAGCCAAGTTCACATGCGTACCCATCATCTTCCGGGTTCGTCAAAGGCAGGCCGTCAGTTTTACTAAGTGTTTGTTTGACTTTGACTTTTTGTATTTGCCATGCTCCTTTGAAGGGCATGCCAAACGGCCTACATGATCCTATTTGGCAACGCTTTGGGTTCTCTCTTTCGGATGATCGCCATGTCTTTAGGTGCACAAGCGGCAACGCAAGCCCATGGCAGAAGGCACTGGCGAGCGGCCTGAAGAAAACATGGCCAATGCCATCAAAACTTGCTTCACTCTCAGCGAAAGACATGCGCTTCAGGTAAACCGAACAAGATTGTGCGTAGTTTCTTACATCCATTGTCGACAAAAATCTGTTTCCTGTCATCAAACGGTGAGTGAGCAAGGTGGCAGATCTCTTGTGGCTTTGCCCGGACAAAAAGGTGCAGGATGGCTAGCGATGCTGTCAGCCTGCGCAAGTTAAGGAATGGTTCGGAATTGAGTTAACCGATTGGACAACAACAATTGTTAATGACTCGACATGGGTGCTGCTCGCTTACGCCAGAAGGGTGCAAGCAGCATGAGACAGCCCATGATTTGCTTTCGAGAGCTTGCATCTGTCAGGTAGTTGCTCGGCTTATGGTTGAGAACCTGGGTTACTGAAAACCCTGCCTGCAAACAATTATGATATACACCTGATGTTCACCCTGTCTATGACTGTTGGTGGCTGCTGGGAGAGCCCAAGCATCCTATCAGGCAACGGGCTGTGCTTGCAAGGAATGATACCAAGTACATGGCAGTCAAACCCCAGCAACTCTGCGTCAATTCCTGTTTCTGTCCAAGACGCTTGACTTCTTCGGCAACGGAATGCTCTGCATGGAACAGCATGTCAACAAGACGCCATGCAAGCCCACGGGATAACGTTACAACAACAAATACCCCAAGTCCAGGCACCACCATGGCCTCTACGCCGCTTCGCTATGACCTGGTAGCGCCAGGCCCTGACAACATCCGTGTCTGTTTTCTCGTTGTCCACTTTTGCACCGAACGAGCGGACGGGAACCTTTAGTGCTTTTGCAGCGTTGTCTTGCTCTTACCACGGTTCGCCACTCCAAAATGTGAAGCACGTGAGTCCTTACCGATCCTTGTCGGTTTGACTGCCCCAATATGACCCCAGACTCCAGGTTGCCAGTGGCTGCTGGCTGTGTATCACGAAAAATGGTGTCCTTACCATGGGAAATTTCACTTATCAGCCTTCAAACGAAGTTTTCGTTGGTCTCCTCATACTTTGGATCGCTCTGACGCAGACAACTTCTTGTGCGTTGGCAGGGTTTGTCGAGGAAGCGCCATGAACAGTAGTGTGTGAGACACTGTCACAATGTGCAGCTGCACTACAGTGCGCCGCTGCCTTGCTCAAGCGCTAAACACACTCAAGCGGATTTTGGTTTTTTTGTAGTGAACACAAGTACCGTGTGGGTTGGAGCGACGCGACTGCTTCAAAATCGACAACCACAACTGGGCAAACAAGATTTCACAAGAAATGTGGCAAGCATGG